TTTTTCTTGAAATGGTTGTCTGCAAGCCATTGTGCAAACCATTGTGTATGTTTGTCTAGTCCTTGTGTTCTGCTTGTGGAGTGAACTGTCTGTCTGCCATGTCTAATTGGTTTTTAATTGCTCTGGTTCATATACAGGTCCTTCTCAAAAAATTAGCATATTGTGATAAAGTTCATTATTTTCCATAATGTAATGATAAAAATTAAACTTTCATATATTTTAGATTCATTGCACACCAACTGAAATATTTCAGGTCTTTTATTGTTTTAATACTGATGATTTTGGCATACAGCTCATGAAAACCCAAAATTCCTGTCTCAAAAAATTAGCATATTTCATCCGACCAATAAAATAAGTGTTTTTAATAAAAAAAAAAAAAAAAGTCAACCTTCAAATAATTATGTTCAGTTATGCACTCAATAGTCAATACTTGGTCGGGAATCCTTTTGCAGAAATGACTGCTTTAATGCGGCTTGGCATGGAGGCAATCAGCCTGTGGCACTGCTGAGGTGTTATGGAGGTCCAGGATGCTTCGATAGCGGCCTTAAGCTCATCCAGAGTGTTGGGTCTTGCGTCTCTCAACTTTCTCTTCACAATATCCCACAGATTCTCTATGGGGTTCAGGTCAGGAGAGTTGGCAGGCCAATTGAGCACAGTAATACCATGGTCAGTAAACCATTTACCAGTGGTTTTGGCACTGTGAGCAGGTGCCAGGTCGTGCTGAAAAATGAAATCTTCATCTCCATAAAGCTTTTTAGCAGATGGAAGCATGAAGTGCTCCAAAATCTCCTGATAGCTAGCTGCATTTACCCTGCCCTTGATAAAACACCAACACCAGCAGCTGACATGGCACCCCAGACCATCACTGACTGTGGGTACTTGACACTGGACTTCAGGCATTTTGGCATTTCCTTCTCCCCAGTCTTCCTCCAGACTCTGGCACCTTGATTTCCGAATGACATGCAAAACTGAGTAACAGTCCAGTGCTGCTTCTCTGTAGCCCAGGTCAGGCGCTTCTGCCGCTGTTTCTGGTTCAAAAGTGGCTTGACCTGGGGAATGCGGCACCTGTAGCACATTTCCTGCACACGCCTGTGCAAGGTGGCTCTGGATGTTTCTACTCCAGACTCAGTCCACTGCTTCCGCAGGTCCCCCAGGGTCCGGTCACCTCTTCTCGTTGTGCAGCGTTTTTTGCCACACTTTTTCTTTCCCACAGACTTCCCACTGAGGTGCCTTGATACAGCACTCTGGGAACAGCTTATTTGTTCAGAAATTTCTTTCTGTCTTACCCTCTTGCTTGAGGGTGTCAATGATGGCCTTCTGGACAGCAGTCAGGTCGGCAGTCTTACCCATGATTGCGGTCAGTGGTGGACGAAGTACACATACCATGTACTTGAGTAAAAGTAAAGATACTCAAGGTAAAATATTACTCAAGTAAAAGTAGAAGTGCTGCCTTTAAACATTCACTTGAGTAAAAGTACAAAAGTATTTGCCTTCAAATGTACTTAAGTATCCAAGTACTTTGAATTTTTTATGGCTATAATTTCCTATTATAATTTGTCACAAGACTCTTGCTTAACTCAGTCTAAGTGAAGACTAATGTCACTCTTGGCACACCAATCTATTAATGAAATTACATTAATTAGTCTGATATATATATATATATATATATATATATATATATATATATATATATATATATATATATATATACTGTATATATACACTACCGTTCAAAAGTTTGGGGTCGGTACGATTTTAAATACTTTTAAAAGAATTCTCTTCTGCTAACCATGGCTGCGCTTATTTGATTAAAAATACAACAAAAATCAGTTATAGTATTAAATATTATTCCAGTGTAAATCAGCTGTTTTCTGTGTGAATATATAGTAAAGTTCAATTCAAAATTCAATTCAAATTTATTTGTATAGCGCTTTTCACAATACATATTGTTTCAAAGCAGCTTTACAGAAAGTGCATTTCAGAAATGTACATAGAAGAATATAGTTAGTTAATCATCATGTATTAAAGTGTAAGTTATTCCTGTGATCAAAGCTGAATTTTCAGCATCACCAGTGTCAGTGTCTTCAGTGTCAAATGATCCTTCACAAATCAGTATAATATGAGGATTTGATGCTCAAGAAACATTTATTATTATTATCAATGTTGAAACAGTTGTTGGTCTGTCAGTTGTACAGTTTTTTTTTGTTTTTTTTTTTTAGGATTCTTTGATGAATAGGGTTAGGGTTAGAATCTTTTGTAACATTATAAATGTCTTTACTGTCACTTTCGATCAAATTAATTATTCCTTGATAAATAAAAGTATTGATTTCTTTCCTCCAAAAAATAAAAATAAAATTCTCACTGACCCCAAACTTTTGAACGGTAGTGTATATATATATATATAAATTGAATTAAATTTGTGTGTGTTTAATTTTGGAGGGAAGGGGACTGTTCCCATAAGGTATAAAACATTTACAGTATTTACTGCATATATTTTTCTCCAGCGCCTATGGTCATAATTATTAACATTAATGCTATGATACATTCACATAAACCTGCACAACCCCATTAAATATATATACACACACATATATATATATATATATATATATATACATACATACATACACACATAGCCTACACACACACACACACACACACACGCGCAGACACACACACGCGCACACACACACACACACACACACACACATTATATATATTCTATATTCTATGTTATGGGAGCAGCCAATTTCCCTCCAAAATTAAACACAAAAACGTTAATGCAGTGTTTCTGCTAGGCTACTCCCCAGAAAAAAAAGCTATTATATGCAATTCATTTTAGTGGCAACGTAAGCAATGTACATTATGCGTTAATACTTACCGATAATTGCTGCATTAATAGCTGCTGCTCTCTGTCCCGCTTAAAATCATTGTCAACGCGATTTGTTTGGAACTATTGAGAGCTACACGGATAACGTGACCGCGCGGCGGCGAGATCACTGTCACAACCATCTATGTTCGCAACTCTCATATTTAACGGCTCTGGTTCGCGCTTAGTAGATATCGCCAAGGCAAGTTCAAAACAAAGCACGCGCGCGCTGTACTGTGATTGGTGGCTCGTTTGGCCAGTTACGTTTTTATCCACTCATAAATAAAAAGGAACGACTGATTTTGAAAATGTAGTAGAGTAAAAAGTAAGATATTTGACTTTGAAATGTAGTGGAGTTAAAGTAAAAGTCTCCCAAAATTTAAATACTTGAGTAAAGTACAGATACGCAAAAAAGCTACTTAAGTACAGTAACGAATTACATTTACTTCGTTACTGTCCACCACTGATTGCGGTTTTGAGTAATGAAACAGGCTGGGAGTTTTTAAAAGCCTCAGGAATCTTTTGCAGGTGTTTAGAGTTAATTAGTTGATTCAGATGATTAGGTTAATAGCTCGTTTAGAGACCATTTTCATGATATGCTAATTTTTTGAGACAGGAATTTTGGGTTTTCATGAGCTGTATGCCAAAATCATCAGTATTAAAACAATAAAAGACCTGAAATATTTCAGTTGGTGTGCAATGAATCTAAAATATATGAAAGTTTAATTTTTATCATTACATTATGGAAAATAATGAACTTTATCACAATATGCTAATTTTTTTAGAAGGACCTGTATGTATACAGTGAACTGAGAGTGAATGTCAACTGATATTTAATATTCTCATTGGTCACAACTGATCTAAAATTGTTTTAGGCATGTATGAATACTCCTTTCAAAGAAAATGTCTGAGTGTGTGTTACTAGAATGACCTTAAGGGGATCTCCATGGTACCTCCATTGTAATTGACCCAGTTTCCTGATTTCAATGCATTAGCTGAATTAATGTTTACAAGTTAACTGCAAAGGGAGTGTAAGATTTTTTTTTATGCGCAGGGGCTGTCTGCAGTTTTTTTGTTTGTTTTCAAAAGCAGGTGCGTGTTGCTTTGTGCATGCATGTGCTTAGCTTTCTTGTCAGTTGACTTTCAAGTGCACAAAGACTTTTCAGCCACTACCTGAAATGCTCTTTTATGTTTTGATACACTTTGCTTCGGGCATTTGCCATTACACAACACCTGGTGCAAGTATTTGCTGTTAAACACATGCAGCTCTTTCCAGAAAATTTCCAGTGATGTAACTTCTTTCAGAGTCTGCAAGCTGAGAAGCTTACTGGACAGCGTGAGATCAAAAAGACCACAAATGAGTATCTGTCTTACTGGTAGTTTGGCACCCTTTCTCTAGTAAACCACAAACCATATGTACAAAACTTCAGTTAGTAAGGATAGTCAGCAAAGAAATAGGATTTCCATTAACTTTTTGGTACTAATGTAATAAGATTTATGCAAATTATTTGTTAATTTATAACATTTTTTATATACATTTTTCTTTTTTTTTAAATTAATGCAGAAAACAGCATATTCGATTTTTTAAAATCCTTTGTTTCCATTTTAAAATACTGACACCTTTACTGTAATTTCTACTGTTGTTTGGTGAGTTCAGTTCAATTAGTCATCTAACAGATCTGGCCCTGCCTCTGCTCCAAATGGATGGTCCAAAACCTACACATGACAGAAGTCAGTCCCCCATTTCAAAGGGGGCCCTTCAGTTGAGCAAGCGGTTTAAAGAAAGCAGCTGGTGCATGGGTGGTGAAAGGTCAGGCAGCGCTTGGAGAGATGCCAGTTCCTCTAGTCTAGTGCAATCACAACCTCTCTCTCCCTCATGTAGACTGAACTGCCCTGAAATCCCCCCTATGATGTAACTGGGTGAAAATAAAACACATAGCTGCAAGCCCACAGCTTTGAGAAGAAACATACCATAATTGCATTTTAAAAGGCATTTATTAAAAAATTTATTGCAAAAAAAAGGTGGCTTTGTCACCACAATTTGACATTGCATTGTGTATATTTGACAAAATAAAAGCACAACTTCATAATACCACCAAATACTGTAGGACCCCCCCCCCCCCCCCCCCACACACAGGATATCACAAAAGACAAGTTACACTAGTGTCCATGTAATATTTTTCAGATAAGATCCCAAGTGCCCATTCTTCAAATTCTTCAAAATATCACTTAAACTTAGTTCCTCTTTAAAATCCACATCACACCAATTCCATGGTCTCTTCACCTCCGACAATCTTATAAACGGGCTCTCACAGTCCACCTGTCCTTTTCTCTTCTATTGTCTCCATGATTCCACCACAATAGACTTGAGTGGCACAGGAGCCTTGACTTTTCCATGCTCGTCCCAAAAAAAAATCCGAACCTCAGCTTTTCCAGGACGGCCAACCGTAGCCTACGCTGGGTCAGTCCACTTAGCTTCCCGTTGTGTGGATAATCCAGACTACATCTGAAAGCTTTTTAGCTTTGCACCGGTGTACCCTTCAGGATGGATGTATTCAACTTGTTTCATTCACGTGAACATGCCAAAGGCATCTCCCATCAGCGTTCCGGCAGAGTAATAGTAGGCACCCATTCGTAGACATTGCGGCTCTCCTCACAGAACAGACCCAATTTCTCAAGCGCAGAATCTTTCCAAGAGTCAGAATTGGGGCTCTTTGGAAGAGAAAAAAAGAAGCAATATTAATATCACATGCAATTGTAAGGCGTTGGCAAATTGTAGGTGTATCATATGCAATGGAAAGGAGGTGATCTTCTCACCGTTACAAGTATGCAGTGTGCGTCCTTAGGTTCCTCATCCTGATCGCTGCCCACGATGTCAGCAAGACGTTCAATGTCATTCACACGAACAATGTTGATGTCGTTGTCAAAGCAGAAGGCTTGAATGAGAGTGAAGTGGATCTGCAAGGCGATGTCACATTCGTACTCCTCATCCGTAGCCAGGACACAGAAAGCCACACTGTCTGGGTCACTGAGGTTGCACAAAGGAGAATATTGATTAGGGAATGGTTCAACATGTTCTGCTTGCATCTATGCATAGGGAAGACTAGGCAATTGAAAAACCCATAAGGTTTGGTATTCTATGGACCTAATGAAAATAAGAACAGATACTTACACATTCATGACTTGTGCAGACTCGTATACCCCAACGGTAAGACAGTCCTGCTTTTTAGCGGAGACCAGGAGCTCCTCTAGTGCTGTTCCTGCACTCTGCATTCTGGAGAACACAACCGGCTTGTTAGTCCATTTACTATACTCAGCATTTGATTGATACAACGCAAATAACGAAAACAACATCAACTGAACAAGACACTTACCTATCGCCAGTAGTAGCTGCGTTATCTTGTCCACTAAATTCTTCAAAAGTCATTGTTTAAATCCACGTAAAGTCGCGTTTCGCGTGTTTTTTCTCTTCTGTGAGCTGTGAGTTTGTGATGCCGTGTCAAGCGCTGGCTGTGTTTTTATACGGGATCAGCGGAGTTTCTCGGCAGTGGGCGGACTTTCCGCTCATACCCGGTTCTGATTGGCTGGCGGCACGGGTGCATGTAAATCGCTCTGATGCAAGTGCTTTGCCTGTAAACAACCCACGTGGGTGTTCAAATATCACTTCATCAACAACACAAAGCGAGCACGGCCCGTACTCTTTCTTACTGCTTAGGTGCAAGTTGTTGAGTTAATTTTTTATTCTTTAATCCTCCATCTCAGATAGGCTATAGAATTGTTGTGGCGAATCTCAAATCCCTCATGCACATTTGTTTTTACATTGATTTCTATTGTTTTATCATATTGTATTACACCATAATCATTAGCCTAACCCTCACCGTAAACATATTTAGATTTTCATTAAGACTTTATTTATCATATTTATTAACTTTTTTTTATAGTAGCCTAGGGCTGGTCTTTTCAATGTAGGTGAATTCAGGTGTTGGATTGTTGATGTTGCTCCAGCTTAAACCAGTTTATATGTATTCGGTAGGGTTGTCCTTGTGGTGGGGACCACAATGTAAGCAAAACATGCCCCCCACCCCACACACACACACACAAAGAGAGTGACTGTGAGTGATCGAGGCACACGCCACTCTTTTGCATTTGTAAAGGAGTCATCCTTACGTGTCTTTGTCACGTGACTGCTTAGCCTGCCCTAAAGCAGGAATAATAGCCCCATGTCCCACCTGCCCCTGGCTTTTGTTACACCCTGCAAAAAGTGTGTCCAAGTGAGATCAAGAGCCAAAACTTTTGTTCCTACTTTTTGGAAGTGACTGTGAGTCAATTCAATGCATAGGCCTACATAAATATAAATAGCCAGTAAATAGGCTATCACTCAACCCTTAACCTGTTTAGTCATAATAAATAAATTAATTGATCAATCATTCAGAAAAATCTCCAAACAACATAGCTGTACATTTCAGACTACAAAACCAAGACTTTTTTAAACCGATGTAGACTATTGGAAGCTCTTTGTAATTCTGTATGTAGTACGCTGGTTTGCTGGTCTTATAGTCTCAGCCAGGTTTTAGAGAGTTTTTAGGCACTTGTGAGATTGTAGACTAGTTGAAGACCACTTTTAAACTGCAACAGGGAAGAGCATCTGTTTGCTACTTTTAAGGACTTTTCTCCGAATACACCAAACGCTGTGATTACTAATATATCTTTCATTATAGCATTGAGTTTTTTGGGCTGTTGAGTGGTATTTCGTGCATATTTGAACCATGCAAAGTGTGTAAGGCGGCATCTAGCGGTTGTGCGTATAAACGCGACCTTTCACGCAGTGTGGCCAAGTGGGTCACGCGCTATACAGATGCAAGATACACATTTTCTCATTGCTCAGGGATGATGAGTATTTGCTCATGTTAACACTCCACGAATTCATGCATCTGAAATTAAATCTGCAGGGTATGATACATGATACTACGGTTAAACTGTACAGCTGATGGTCGAACGTGAAATAATAGCAATAGATTTATTGTTACTCCTCTTCTAAACCACCGGTGCAGAACTAATGATAGTACAGTGATGGGAGATGTTCTGGCGCCACCTGCAGGAACAACAAGGAAGTTACATCACCGATTTATCAGCGTTCCAAAGATATTTACATTTCCTTTCAACTCTTCTACTCTTGCTCGTGGATATTTGAGCGATATTGATGATATTTGTAAACAATATTTTGTGCTTTATATATGAGCTTCTTTTAAGGTTATGACTGTGTGTGTGTGTGTGTGTGTGTGTGTGTGTGTGTGTGTGTGTGTGTGTGTGTGTGTGTGTGTGTGTGTGTGTGTGTGTGTGTGTGTGTGTGTGTGTGTGTGTGTGTGTGTGTGTGTGTGTGTGTGTGATAGCCAAGGTGGTACAGATTTGCATCTCAGTTTTGGTTAGTGCATATGGGACAGGATAATTGGTTTCTATGGGTTCATTTGGGTTCATTTGCATTTTCTTTTAGCAGCCAAAAGAGATGTCTAGTTGTAACATGCTTGGACATGCACAGAAGATTGACCTAGTTTCAGTGTAAGACCTTTATAGATCACTTTCTAAGAATCCCAGTAGTGTTTTGAAATTAGTTGCATCATATGCATGGCCGGATTTACCTCATTAATGCTAAATGCATAAATGTAAATATTGTGACATTAGACAAAATCATTTTTTTGAGGCAGTAAGTGCATCGCATTACGTTTTTTCCAACTTACTGGTTATTTGGTTTATTGTGGCTTTGTGGGCAGTGGGCACTAATTTATTTCTGTCATTTGGCCAAAATCTCAATTAAGTGTTTCGCACAGGCTATTTAAGACAGTATTGGCAAATGCTAGACCAAGATACTCTTCTCCGCTCCTCAAATACATAAAACATTAGCCTTAATGTTTCTTAAGTAAAGAAAACGCTGCACTTATTGTTCTTTATTTACTCTTGCATTGCAAACAAGCAGAGGCGGTCCAAACTGCGTGAAGAAGCACTTCATTCGTGATCATAGTTCGTGATAGAGGCTGTGGAGTTATTAGGTTTGACTGACAGTTTGAGGATCCAATGGAGATACGAGGTTCAGTCACAAGCTCTTTTTAATACGTTGCATTGGTTAAATTTGTACAAAACACACAGTGACCAATAGAGAGCCTAAGTCCCGCCCCTCCGCTTCCGGCTCATGGGACCTTATTTCGGAAATATGTATGGTAGTCAATGGCGAGAGACAACTTATCTTTTTATTCCGTCTGAACTGTGCCCTGAATTACACATATGATGTTTGTCAATTTAAAAGATAATTATTAAAGTCAAGAAAGTCGCAGTTTGTCATAAAACAGAAGAGTAACATTTAGTTTTATGTGGAAATCGCTCAATGAACTACATCTCCCGGGAAGCGAAACAACGAGCGAGATCCGCTGCTCGTGTGTGTGCAGTCTGGTACAAAACACTCAGGCATGACTGCGTAACGTTACGATTATAACGTAAGACTATAGACGAAATGACAGACGTTAGCTTCAGTAAAGTTAGCTTCATTCATTGAGAGAAAATGTGCGCCTTTTGGGTTTGTTGTCTTTTTAATTACGTATTTTCACAGTCTTAACAGTTTTACATCAAACTGCGACTTTCTTGACTTTAAAATGTATCTTTTAAATTGACAAACATCATATGTGTAATTCAGGGCACAATTCAAACGAGATCAAAATATTTGTTGTCTCTTGCCATTGACTACCATGCAATATTTTTCCGAAATAAGGTCCCATGGTGGTCGACCGGAAGGGGAGGGACTTAGGCTCTGATTTATGAAAGGGAGATACGAGGTTTCTGCACGATGTTTAAAATTTGGTTAATTTAGATAGTAATTGTCTTACAGTGTTTTACTATTAGAGTGAAATAATAATAAAACATTCCTCGTAATTGAAGACATGCAAACAGTGCCATGCATAAATCTGACCCTGATCATATGCGTCGACTCATATCTAGAATTATGTACAATTCTTTGTTGTTCATTAGTTGTCATTTCTTTGTATCAGTTTTCATTGCAATGAATGACAAAAAAGCATGTCTTTATAGTAAACTGATCCTTTTTTATTGATAATTACATGATCAAGACAGATATGAAGAGTTTATCAACATTCCAAGTTTGTAGACACATCAGTGCATCATATGACCAAAGATTGAAAGAAATCAATAAAAAAGACTGCAATAAAATAAGTCTTTTAAGAGACGAAACAAAATATCTACATCAAAAATGACATCAAAATGCTTCACTGACACAGCAGATTATGACATTTGTTTTATATGTATATATATACATATATAGACATAAACACTTTTTTGTGTGTGTTGATATATGTGCAACACTATACCCCCTCTAAAATGTACATTTAAAGCTAAATTTACAGCAGTTTAACGGAAGGGGTTCTAAGCCACAAATAATGTACAAGCAGAAAACAACCTTTACAAAAGAATTAGCTTTTCCCTTTTCTAAATACACTCCCATGTCACTATGACTGATATTTCAGTAGTGGAATCTCTTTAAGCATGTGGCTCCCTTACTAAAAAAGGGAAATAATATTTTACTAGATGCCCAAACACCTACAATGTCTCAAGTAATACAGACAAATAAATACATTTCCTAAAATGTACTAAAACTCAATGGGGATGCAATGCAGAGTTCAATACGATATAACTCCTTCACGTTTCCATTAAAAAAGAACCATCATTTGTGCAGAAGAAAATGAACAATAATGGCTGGGTTTCATAAAAAGTGCTATTATAGCATGACAATAGATCCATATAAAAAATAAAGGAAAAATGGTCAGACTGTGATGCTACAATTAAGAGAAATGGCTATACTGAATATTTTACCTAAAACAAAGCAAGGTTTGTTTTAGATGCTTTCCTACATTTCATCCGATCGGTGCTGTTGTATTATAACTGACGTGGGTTTCTGCTCCATCCAGCTCTCCTTGGTTTTGCTCTGCCCGTCGTAGATCCCCGGAGACGCTGCGGAGTTCCTGTGAGACTCTGAGAGAGCTCCGTCTGCTTGGAGATCTGACTGGGCAGCAGTGGGGAAGTCAGCGGATGAGTTGCTGTTGACACCAGACTCGGAGTCAGACTGCTCGACCCGCTGGTAGTCAGGTGTGTGGTTCTGACCACCGGACAGCAGCACCTGCTTATTCTCTATGGTGGCCACTAGGAGGACATCCTGCTCCGGCACTTCTTTAGCTGAGGTGGATATAATGTCCTCTTTCATGATAGCTGGGTAAGACCGCAGGGCTCGGGACATCCCTAGAAAGCAGTGGAAAACCACATTCTTAAATGACTTGGTTACAAAATTGATGCTAAAATAAAAACATCGTAACACCAATCTCTTTCTGCACTTTTTATAATATTATAATGTAAATAGCTTTTGATTTAGATTTTATTTTAGAACTTTATTTTGCTCCCAGATATCTAAGTAAGAAACATGAAGCTGTTCAATTAATTTGCATATTAATTTAATTTTATTATTTAGAATTACTAGAATTTTGATTTTTAAAAACTTTAATCAGTTTATTTTTGTAGGTATATGCTATTCATTTTAATGTAATTTGTTCATATTTATATTAACTATTTAACTTATTTTTAAATAAATGTTTAAAGTCACCATGAAATCAAAATGGATAATCCTTACTTTTATGGAATATTGCAGTATTTCTTATAAATTAATTATTCTTGCACATCTTTTTTTAATTTATTAATGTGCCCTAGTAATCCTAAATCAAAATAACTTCCCCTCCCTCTTCTCTGATGATGTGTTTACTGGCGCGAGGGCGGGACAACCTGTCACTCACATGACATCACAGCAATAGCAAATCACAGCCATCCAATCAACTCTCGATGGACAAAATCAAGTCCCGCCCTACATTTTTTTCTTGTTTGAGAAGCCGTTTCACTCAGATATACGGCACAATATGGAAGAATCGCAACTTCTGTTTCATGCCGACTTTAAATAAATGTGTTATTGCTGTGATGTTAAAATTGGTATTGAGAATAGTGGGATTTCACTGGTACACCAATGATTACTGAAATAGCATTATTGTATAAGTAGAACAAAACACAGCAGAACAACAAGCAGGACAACATTCCTCACTACCCTACACAGGAACAATGACAAACGTTGTGCTCACCTGTAGATGATGTATAGAGATCTTTCTGATTGCTGCTGCCAAAAGGATTGACTGAGGGGAAAATGATCAGACAAAAAGAAAGCAGGAACACCTAGAAAAAACAACAAAAGAGAAGGTCAAGAAACGCATCACACTGCTATTGTATTCATCCAAGACAGAATGTTCCGATTACATGCAGGTGAAAGTTTAAACTCATACATCATATTTCATTCAAGGCCAATTCAACCCTACTGAGAGATTCAAATGCCACATGGGGGAAAACTCACCATGATACAAGTGCTAGTCGTGGTGGTTTTCATTGTGGACATTTTCACCATAGCTTGCAATTTTCTTAGCTGTTCAATAAGGGACCTAAAGATACAAACACAAAAGTTCTAGTTAATAGCATTTAGGTATTATTACAACCAATACTAAGATGAATTAAATAGAAAATAATGTTGTGCTGACACATGATGTACACTTACATGTTTTGTTTCTGCAGCATCTGAACTTTCTTTTGTAATTCCTGGTTGTGAGCAGTGCAGATCGCCACCCTATGGACACACAAAACATTTATTTCAATTACTTAACAAACAACACAAAGTCATTTATTCAAATATTTAACATTTGTTCTTTTGAACTCTATTTTTTAAAGAATCCTTGAGCAGCAAATCAGAATAATTTGTGAAGGATCATGTGACACTGAAGAAAATTCAGCTCTGCCTTCACATGAATAAATTACATTTTAAAATACATTCAAATGGAAAACAGTTATTTAAAATTGTAATAATATTTCACAATATTACAGTTTTTTATGTATTTTTGATCAAATAAATGCAGCCTTGGTGAGCATAAGTAATAATTGTAATAAATAAATGCTTTCAATGCATAATATATATCATTCATTCCTGAAACCTTATTAATGGAATTAATTATAGATCATGATTAACTGAACTATAACAATTACAAACATTCAATATACATTATATTATGCAACACCTTTATAGTTAGGTGTTAAGTGCTGCCTCTATTTTGAGAGACATTATAAGTGTTATATGGTGTCTGTCTCTCCACACAAACCTGTTTTCTAGGCCATCAACATAAACTTTCTTCTTTTTGCGACTCTCCTGAGCAGACTGCTTGTTCCGGATCTTTCTCCTCACCCTCTTCAGGGTCCGTTCCTCGGCCTAAAGAAACACAGCCTTTTAACTAACACTAACATATTATATTTAATTTTGCGTTTCATTTAAACTTTAATATGAAACCATCATAAATCAGAATCCATTTCTCTTACCTTTGTAAGAGGCATCTGACTTGGAATACTTGCACCTTCTTTTGCCAGAAGTCTCCTCTCTTCATCGGTCAAAACAATCTCCTTGAATTGGAACTGGAGACAGAATATGCACATTATAGCCTCGCCGATTTTTTTTGTGTATATCTGATTGGAATCTGATCACATTTAGCAAAAAACATATAAAATGCGATTTTTACAAATCCGTTTTCAGCTACAAACAAATCCTATTCAAATTGCATTTCTGGAAATCCATTTCAGCCTGACCGCTCTTATAGGATTTTGTGACGTGACTTTCTCACGCCACGTAAACAGATCAGACGTTGTTATAGGAAACTCGCTGCAGAAACAAGGTTATGTTGTTGCCGATCGAGCAAAAAATAACAATATAAGGGAGACATGTTGAATTTTGATACCGATAATTTAGATCAGATTCCAATCGGATACACATATAATCAGATTTGGACACAGCATTTGTCTATTTTTTTTTTTTTTTAAATGTACCTGGTTGTCTGGTTTGCTATTTTGTGTGGAGTCTTCAATCGTAAGTGAGCAGGGTGGCTCAGGGGAGAAGTCATCGTCCATACTGACATCAAAATCATCTGACAGGAAGAAAATAAACTTAAGATGGGGCACTTAAATAAGCCATTTGAACATATAAACAAAACAAGAAAATTTTACGCTACCCCTTCACACCACAGCCCACCACAACATTACCTTACCAACATCTATGAAGACATCGGACTCGGGATTCTCCGAGCGGACACTGAGCAGGGCATCTGTGTCCTGTGGGAGTGTGTAACAGTGGTCTGTCTGCACCACCTGGGCCTCGTAGCTCTCCATCACACACTCGGAATAAAGCAGGGGTTCGAGGCCTGGACTGGGGATGGTGTCTGTCTCACTGCCATCATGTGGACTTTGGGGGGTGGTATCCTCAGAGATGCCGCTGTCACTGCCATGAGGAGACTGAGACAAGCAGTTGACAGACAGACCATCCTCTTCCTCACCCAGAAGACTGCTGAGAAAGTCCTCTGTATCCATTCCATCCAGCATCTGCAACGATAAAAGCATTAATCAAATTACCAAATATAATAAGTATTATATTATTATTACTATTATAATATATATATTGATTTGACAGCACTAATATACAGTATATTAGTGCTGTCAAATCGATTAATGCATAGAAAGATGCAATCATAGAGCTAGTCTATGATATGAAACTGATAAAAAGAGAATTGAATACAGATTTGACAGCAGACAGCACTATATATAAAATTCTCTTTTTATCAGTTTCATATCATAGACTAGCTCTATGATTGCATCTATTATAGAATCTACATGAGAAAACCATGAAAATATAAATTGTTTTTAGATTTAGATCACAACACATGAAGGTTACGTACATTATGCCCTAAAAGCAAATCATCCAGGAAGTCATTCCCCTCTGTGAGGAACAGATCACCGGATCCCGGGTCTTCATCTGGGAAGATTAGACCAAGCAGGTCTGTATTCTCCATATCTTCGCTTACTGACATCTAAAAGAGATAGCAGAAATCAAATGAGAGCAGGGTAGATCCGCAGTGAGGCTGCGCACTGACAGCTCGATCAAGTTCAGACCCCGCCCACTCTCATCATGTGACTGTAATTCCGTCTTTAAACGGAACAACACAAATGACATCTAACCACTTTACCGCTGATAGTCCAGCGCATGCTAAAAGTCACAATCGCAAACATAAAACGGTTGTGTGTGATAATTCCTGACAAATAGTTTTAAACCCAATTAAAATTACTGGGAACATTACTGTAACACGATGACAGCTCGTTTAATTATTCACTAACAATAACTGTTACTATAGTGCCACGACGATACAGGTATGATTTTAATCTGATTTGGTTATGATCCGATTTCCTATATGTTCAACACACTGCAATATGTGAAGCAGCATTTACAAATTTATTGTTAACAATAATACTAATAATAGAACAGAATATAATAGAACAATAGAATGCTTATTGTGATAAATGTTATGATGCATTACATACATCATGTAAAAAAAAGTATCTTGTAAAGCATCTGACAGGTCTGACATTTGACAGTTTTACAATAACTGAATTGTGAGGAAATGCCATTTTGATGACATTTCCATCTAAAAAAAAGCTGTGAAATAAACTCTTACCTCTGTTGATCTTGTACCGATACAAGATACGTTGACATATACAACAAATAGGAAGTGCCTTCTCTCTTTGTCTTGAAATGCTGTTCCTGCTGAAATCACCCTCCAACGAGGCAAAAATTGCGTCATCACGTAAGGGTGCATCAGTGCGTGCACGTCTTCTAGGAAAGGCTTTCTGGGAGTTGTAGTGTAATAAATTATGCCTCAAATAAGTCGCTAATGAGTCTGTACTTTTGTAAAACTTAAATCGACAAAATCCTAAAAACATACAATAAATTATTTGATTACAAAAACAAACGTTAATTAGAAACTTAAATGTGCAACGTGTACATTCTAGCCTATGCATATCATGTGTATATTGCATATTTATAAATCGTGTATTTTTGTATGCACACGTTTTATGTTTTTTTAGGACTCTTAATCAATGATTTTTATACTGTAAAAAAAAATGCATTTAAACACTTACAGGAAACATTCAGCATTTTTTAATTCTCATAATAATAATAATATCAATAATTTGGTATTATTTATAAGCTGCTTTCCGCATACCATGGGGACCAAAATCTTTAAAAAAAAATTCCAGGTTTTACTATCCTTGCAAGGATACCTTACCTGGACTAAACACACACAAAGACACACCTATTCTTGTACATCTATCTTTGAGAGGACATTAATTTCCAAAACCCATCACAACTAAGTGCATAACCCAAACCCTTAAGGAATTTACCCTAAACCAAGCCTTAATTATAACCTTATCCCTAAAACCAACTCTTGACCCTTAAACAAGTCTCAGAAAGTGAGGACCAGACAAAATGTCCTCACTTTTCTCTCTTTGTCCTTAATCCGATGGTCTAAAACTCCTCACAAAGATAGTTGTACAGGTGCACGCATACAAATATTTTGTTTACACTATAATTTCTGTATTTTCTATATTTTAAATCATATATAATATTCATTTTTCAGGGGACTCTTATTTTATCTTTAATTTTTCTAACATTTGTGGTAAAATATTGTGTATCTGAAATATATTTGCAAAGAGAATGCTCGAAACAATGCAGTCTAAAGCACTTTATTACATTTATGACATGACATCCATGACATTAAGACAAAAGTCTTGCCTCACTCACCTGCAAACACTCATACTTTCCATTCATTCGTGTAAACTACTTTCATTAGAGACATTCACTGATCTCCTTTTCAATGAAAAAAGATATAACAAAAGAGGTATATCAAATATAACTAGCTGAACTATATCTGTCCCTCATTTCTATATAAGCTTTCTGAGCATCACAGAATGATGCAGAGTTTGGACGTATGCCTCAGGCTCCTGTATGTCTTCAGACGCTCCTTTTTAGCATCAGTTCCAGTTACTACATGAGTAACTACTGGCATGCTGTCCACTGCTTGTCGTTTATGTGAGCGGTGTAAGAGGATTCGATAGACTCCAGTGATAGAGCTCCTGCAGTCTTTGCCCTGGTTGTTACGAATGTGGTCTGCGGTGATGCCAAGAGCCTCCAGGGCGTTTCTCACCTCTATCTCATGCTCTTCAAGCTCCTTTGACTTCGACTCAGCCAGATGGAGCGGGTCCATTTTGAAGGGCTCCATGGCCTTGGGAAACTCCACCGGCAGCAGCCACTCACAGCCCATCATCTGTTCTACACTGTATCGGTCAGATGGCTGGGATTGCAGGATGCCCCGGATCAGTTTCTGACAAGCTTCCGGAACCCAGGTAGGCACTGTGTACGCCCCATCCAGGATGGAGCGCTTCAGCTTGGCCACCGTTTCGGCGCGGAAGGGCATGGAGCCGGTCACCATGAAGAAGAGCATGACGCCCAGGGCCCAGATGTCCACGCAAACACCTATGTAGTGTTCGTCTCGGAAGAGCTCAGGGGCGGCATAAGGGGGAGAACCGCAGAAGGTGTTGAGGGTCTCGTCGCGACGGCTGACGGTGCTGAAGCCAAAGTCTCCCACTTTAACACAGGTGCTACAGGTGTAAAAAACATTCTCTGCTTTCAGGTCTCTGTGAATGATGTTATTGTCATGCTGCAAAATGACAAAGAGAAATTACTATTAACAACTAAATACATAGATATTTTGAATAACAATGTTTATACATTAATTTAACTGGTTATATATATATATATATATATATATATATATATATACACACACAGACTGTATATTTATACACTTTAATATGTTTTTTTAATATTATTTTTTAAGAAATAATAATAAAAGATAATGTCACAATATTTAATAATGTTTTTATTTTATGCCTCCCAAAATTATCAAAATTAATTAAAATTTAGAGATTAAAACATGTTTATCATAGAATACATTTTATGTAAAACATTACATTTCATGATCAAATGTAGCAATCTATATACAGGGTTTCTGAATTAACTTTAAGTTACGGGCCATTCAGAACTTCTACTAGCCAAAGCAAAATGATCAGAAATAAACCAGAGCTTAGATTTAAATATAGCCTATTTATTATTAAATCTGATTCTGAACTATCGTATTGCTTTTGGCTTTATGACAGTCAATCACTGTCTGTGATCACTGTACCATTCAAATAAAATTAAAAAGAAATAAAGACAAAATTCTCTGTGACTTCTCTTATAATTGCCTTGAGTTTACCTGCACGTAGCAATAAAGACACAAGGACGCTTTTTGCCCAAAAGTCTTGGACATGCGGCATTTATGGGAATGGATTAGAAAAAGTGGCCTCTTAATTGTCTCCAATTTAACCTTCCAATTTACTGGGACAACTTTTATAGAGGTTAATGCAAAACAGGGCCCTACATACACATTTCCAGGCACTTTACAGGGTGTCAGTGAGGTGATAGTATTGATATGTTCATCTTAGATCTGGTATAGTCTAAGATCAATATATGAATTTAAAAATGAATGTAAATTTACATTCATGTTCATCATAGAAGAGGTGTATTCAGGTCATTTCATGTATGAATTGCATTTTTATTGTATTGTATTTTTGTATTGTATTGCACCTGAAACCGTTAACTAGCATGAAAATACTTAAAGGGGCACTAGGCAACTATTTCAACTTAATAAAACCGTTTAGAAATCATTTGGATGATTTCAAAACCTGTTCTGGAGAGAATGGTGACTTTCCCCGCTCCCCCCAGCGTTCCCAGGAGGAAAACCAACCTTGCAACATGGGTAAGTTGGAAATAGGAAGTCTCGTGAGAAGCGAGAACGAGCGAGAAAAACACGAACTGCTTTATGGCAATTCGACATAATTCTATGATACTGTGTATGATGTATTATCCACCTCGGTAGACATAGCTCCACACGATAAAGTTGGCCGGCTCCGATTATAACAAATGCACATGAGCAGCGGTAGAAAGCGGGAGGAAGTGAGGGAGCAAGTGAGGTTTTTTTGACACTGTTGTGAAAATATACGCCGCACAGCTGTAGGGGGAGCTCGATGAGAAAACATGCGTCAACAAAAGCGAAAATCAGCGAAGAAATGGCTAGAGTTGCCAAGTGCCCCTTTAAATCTGCCAAATTTGAAAGGCCAGGAAAAAGAGAGAAAAGTAATTGAATTGCCTCCTTGAATTCTATTCCATGCTTCATGTACATCTCACCATATGCTTCACGGCTGAGAGAACTTGAGAGAAGACAATCTTGCTGTCGATGTCGACGAGCTTTCCCTCTGTGCTGATCTTGGTGTAGAGCTCTCCTCCGCTTGCGTACTCCATGACCAGGTGCAGACGGGTCAGAGTCTCCACCACCTCGTACAGACGGATGATATTTGGATGGTGCAGCTTTTCCATGCTTGATATCTCCCGGGAGAGCAGTCTTTGGGTCTTTTGATCGAGCTTGGTCTTGTCCAAGATCTTTATGGCTACTTTGTCTGTGAATGACAACATAAAGTTTCAGCTACAGGAGCTTCTCATTCAGAAAACATTCATATTCATTTGTCTTTGATACTTAAAGCATTCTAATGCAATTTGTATTTATGAAGTGCTTAGTCAAAACAGCAGTAAATGTCCACTGTAATAAAGGAAAGACCTTTGAGCAGTTTTGATATCAGATATGGTGTGCCATGCGATATGGAATGTCATTCTACACCCTTTCTTCAAGATCTGCTGCAACACAACAAATACACTGTGCATGTAATTCACATCGCTTCGTAACGGCACACCATGACCTCCTATCCCTTACACACACCAATCTTTGATGAGGCCTACAGCAATTCTAAAGGTCTCAACAGAAATGTGACTCCTCAAACCGATCCATCTGTCTGAACCAGACAAATTGTCTCAGCTTGACTTTGACCGAGGGCATGCTTCCCACATTATCAATGTAACACTGACCATAAAGCACACTTACTGGGTTATATGGGTTAAAACTACATATAACAGCACTGTATCACGGCAACAAGTTTGGCAGGAAAATTTAATTTGAATGTATATATTGTATTAATATATTATGTATTACTACATTAGTTGGCGACACTTAATATTCAACAATATTATTGATTTGACTGCACTGGCACTATTGGATGAGAACTGAACTGAGCTGGACGATGACATCACTGTTTTTTGCGGAACTGCTTTATAGATTTTAGATGAAATTAAATAATTAAATAATTGATGATTTTTACAACGGAACTGAATCAACACTGAACTGACTTTAGCTGAACAATGACACAATTCTCTTTTTATAGGTTGCTTTACAGCCGAAATGAACTCTTTTTGGATCATTTAATTATTTGTTATCTTTTGGATCAAATGTAGCAATATTCTCAATTTTTTTGCTGTAATATATATATATAATTTTTCACAACTTTCAACATGTTTAGTGATGTTGCAACATTCAAAAAAGTAAATAAAAAATAAAGATTATTAATTATAATATACAAATATTTAATACTTGTTTCTTTTTACATTTTAATATTCAAAATATAAAAAAAACCTGGTATCTAATTCATCATAGCCTGATAATTCTCTGTATACACTGCTGATCAAAAGTTTGGGGTTAGTCAGTAAGATTTTTTAAAATACATTTTATTATTAATTTCTTTAATTTAATATTTTTTTAGCAAGGATGGATTCAATTGAAGAAAAGTGAAAGTAAAAACTTTTACATTGTTACAAAAACTTACTATTTCACAA